AAGTATCGTACTTTAGTACGATATCAGTTTTATTTCATTAAAATATTACCGAATATATTTCTTGACTGATGATTTAAAAAATACCAGTGGTCGCCTATTGAGCAAAATTCGATCTTTTTAGTTCTAATGTCAAAAAGTATATTTATATCCTATCTCACTAATATTATAAATGTGAAAGTTATTAGGTTAGTCACTCATCATCATCATCAACAGCCCATCTTAGACCACTGCTGGACATCATCATCATCATCAGCCTTTAATGTCCCCACTGCTGAAGCACAGGCCTTCGCTATGGATGGAATTGGGAAAAAGGGCCATGATCCACCACGCGGGCCCAGTGCGGATTGGCGGGTGCTAATGATGACAGATGCAGCCGGGACCAAGTGCTTAACGTGCCTTCCGAAGCACGTAGGAACTTGAGATAGAAGATTTTTGGTCACCCATCCAATGACCGGCCACTGCGAAAGTTGCTTAACTTCAACAATCGCAGCCGAACGCGCTAACCACCTTCGCCATCGAGCTCCTCGACATAGGCCTCTCCAATTGCATGCCACTGAGTTCGATCTTACTTAGTTACTCAATCACACCAAAAGTAACAAAACAGATTAGGATGAAATTTATGACGCATATAGTTTATGACCTGGATTGAAACAGGGGCTACTTTTTAGCTCGGAAAAACTAAAGTTAACGCGGACAAAGTCGCGGGCAACAAACACACAAACTTTCATATTTATAATATGAGTAAGATAATAAGCAATATTAAAACTTCGCCAATAAACTTATGGAGTAAAATTAATTGAATGAAATATGTATATTATACCTAATAAAATGGGTAAACTAAGTAAATTTCATATGTATAGGAATTGGTAAAAATATGATGTTCTGGCTGATGGTCATATGTAGCTATTTTTGGATGGTATCTGTTATAAATTTAATGGTTACAAGTGGCCTTTGTCATTATACGAGACCTCTTTATTTTCCCTTCAAAATTAATCAAAATCGCTCCAATATATTTATCTGATGATAATAATATAATTTTGATGATCTAACAACTCTACAAGAGATGCAAGGTGTGATTCGCTTTCCTCCTTATTAATAAGTGAAGAAAATTTAAGATTGGAATACTTTCATACACCTTCAAAGTAAACAAAACACTTCGTCGAAGTCACTTTTAATGTTTTTTTCTAATGAATTTTTATTAGGTAAGAAATTCTCCAATGTAATAGTTGGAAAAAACTCTTAAACTAACAAATCTATCTTAACCGTTAAAAATTTCCTTAAAAGTTCACGAAAAGCACTATTATCATATTTTTTTCAGATTTTTTAGTTAATAGTTTAGCTTTTAAGGAGGCGGGGGGGGGGGGGGGGCTTACTTGCAAACTAATTTGCATTTTAAGTGTAATATTTCACAAACGAATCCCTAAACCAGAAAAAGTAGTTAGCAATCCCTAGTTCATTTTAAAGGACCTATTCAACGATACCAAATTATTACATGTAGAGAAGCTTTAAAAAACATTTGTTTATTCTACCCATTTGTAGGCGTGATGTAAATACATACTTCCACAGAAACTCTCTAGTGCCAACAGTCTCCAAGTAAAACTTTGGACGGACAGAAAGACAGACGGACATGACGAAACTAGGAGAATTCCTTATCAGAAAAACGTAACCCTAAAAAAAGAATGTAATCTCGACCGAAATATTCATATCGATAATAGGACGTGATTTCAATTCCCGAAGTCCACACTGGGCAAGTCACTGATAGAAATCAGTCAACCCCGTAGTCAATCTTAGGTGGGATCAATAAATTCTATCATCGCCGCTTGAATCGAGGTCGTGGCTTAAGTGCGTAAGTAATAAAATTAGTCAATGTAATTGCCACTTAAGCAGACTTGTGTCGGAGGAAACTTACCCTGTCTTTACTTAGAACAACTGACACTATCGAAGCTCCTCTGGAGTGTAGAGTTGCCATAAAAAATTATAGTCCTGGACTTTTCTTTAACTTCTGCTGAGTGCTGAGCGCCAGTTATTTATTTACTTAATAAATAACTGGCGCAAACTTATCTTAAAGTTGTATTGTACGTTTATAATAGGCAATCTGCTGCACAACAAAGCAATTGTAAAAAGTTCTACTATATATAAAATGTATATATTTTATTTATTTTGAAACAAAATTAGTTTTATCAATGAATTATATATTTTTAGTCTGTACCTGTGTATATAACCGTTATTTTTCATAATTGTTATTTTAAATCACTACAGCTTTGTAAGTAATCCCTTAATATTTATTTAAGTTTGTTAAACAGTCGGAAACAAATTTATTTACTCATCACACAAATAAATGTCGCAATAGGGATGCGAACTCAAGATCTTGGGCGCAAAAGATAGGACTACTGCCGGTGCATCATGCCCATAGGTCCTAATTAATAAAGAATAATTGGAAATCCAGAGGTACGAGTATTTAGATTTCCAATTAGTTTTTATTTATCCACTAAATGCGGAAAACGCAGGGTTCTTGTAAATAAAAATCCCTGGAAGAGACCTATGTCCACCAGTGGACGTCCATCGGTTGATGATGAAGATGAATAAGAAATTTGTCTTTTGCTGAACTGTTTTAACCTAAAAGAAAACCTGCCTACCACACATTAGGTCCTAGCAAACACACTCAAAGCCTTGCAACGTTTTATTATCACATGATGATTACAATGATGAGATCCCACAGATATATAATTGTCTTTACCACAAAATAAATCTTTACGAGACCTAATAAAATATTTAGATCTAGTATAAGTTTCAAGGTAAGTTTTTTTACATTATCCACAAGGTTACTTGGTAACCCTACTTACTCCGGAACATAGGACACCGATCAAATAGTGCTCCGCGCTCCTTCAACTAAATAGTGGAAGTTTTTCCTCGATAGATATTGTCAGCCGTTCAAACACTGAGCGTTAACTGCGGCCGGAGTTAATTTCACGTGTGTTTCCTGAAAGTATATTTAGAGGGATTCCCATCTTCGGCTTTTGAAATTTAAGCTCATTATTCACTTTAAAATTAAACTTTGGAGGAAATATACCTTTGCATGTTTAGTAATGCGTTATGGTTCATCTATTTTGGAGCTGATGAAGCTCTATTTATATTCAGTGCAGGTATCGTCTTATAAATATGTATTTTCTACACCTATGCTTTAAAACCTCTATAAGTGAATTTGAAACAATGAGCATATTGCCAACATTAAAATATTCAATGTCCTAATAAAAACATAATTTTATCCAAACGGATGATATAATGTTTTACTGAATTTAACACTCCTTGCCTTTACCGATCGACAGCCATAATTTTCATTGCTCATGGTATTATGAATATCAAAAAAAACCAAGGACATTCTAATTCACGAGCGAATAAATAGCACAGCGCCGAAGCTTTTCATGAATTTGAGTTCTTAGAAGGGCCCGTGATTTCAGATTTTTTGTTATGGAGGATTCATATCATGGGTGCGGATAAAGTCATGTATGCATCTGTTTACAATAAGATATTAAAACATTCCTTCGGGTATTTAATACCCATCACTATAGGTACAACAGTTCTGTGGCATAAATTACTAATTTAAAATTTCCAGGGTTAAGGTGTAACAACACCCTAAAACTGTTGGTATGTCTTCGAAACCAACTTTAGTAATTTTAGGGGAACACAATGAAATCTTACTATTAGCACGAAAAAAATAGAAACTATCGCATTCATCTGTTACTAAAAGAGGATAGACCCCAAGCCAGTGTGGGAGACTATTTCAAGAAATCTGATATTATCTGAGGATATCATTAACATTCTTTTCATGCAAAAATATCTCGTGTAACATAATTACGTTAAGTAAACAGCACCTATTATTGGCGTGACGTGTTTGTTATATTCAGTAAATGTTCCTCAGAGATTCTATATCAATTTATCTCTTCGGGCCGGAAAACTATATTATTATTGTTACCACCCTCATTCGAAACTACATTTTCCCTCGTTTCATTGTTTGGCATAATATTTTGATGGACTTTATTTTTATCTATCTGCATGTGGCCTACTTTCTTTAAGTTTCTATTAATACTTTCCGATTTTTCATGATGATTCGTGCCAAATAAGTTTCTGAAGAGGAAGGTGCTAGCGTCGGTAAACTTAAAAGTAGCAGTATTACTTTCTTAGAATTTTATTCCATGACATAATATTACGTTTTATAAATTAAACCATTTGTGGAAAATTTATTATACCAGACGGAAGAAGTCATTTCAAACTTATTTTATTAAAAATAAAAGTTATAATTAGTAGTCACAATTACATTTAATTTATCGATAGTGTACGACAGTATCTTTATAACTTAAAACAAAGTGTAAAGAAAGTGAAGTGTAACAATATTTTTCAAAAGTTGATACTGCAATAATTGGAAACAGAAATCATCAATTTCACAATAACATTTGTGACCACTACCACTACCTACACACCACCAGAGCCCTGATAAGTATCCAAAAAGACATATTTGAAATTTTATACTTTTTTGTATTATAAACGCATATAGGAACCCATTGAACATGATGAGTGATTTGTGTAAAAATATAATAATTTTTGAATGTTTTCATTAATATCTCCCTCTGCTATACAGTTTTACTATGTTGCCTTCTTAAAGAAGTTTTCTTTGTATTAATGTTCAATATTAGAGCAAGTTTTTAAGTAACGTTGTATGTAGATAACATAATTTATTAATTTTATACGAAGACTCAGTTTCTATGGAAAACTTTTAGAAGTTAAAAACGAAGTTCTTGGAAATTATTTCACTTTTAAGGTAGTTCAAGCAAAAAATTAAGCTGAATATTTAATGGCCGTTATAATAACTCTGAGCAATTTTACCTAATGACTAAATTTTTATACCTACAGTGAATAAAATTTAACAAAGAAAAGATAATAACAAAAACTACCGGGACAAAAAGAAATGAAACAAAAGCAAATAAAATTTTGAAAATGTGTGTATTTCATGATTTTTATCTGATAGTTATTCATCTCATTTAGTATTTACATAATTATGTACAAACATTATAATTATTTACAGTCTCTTTACATGACATTAATAAATCGTCTTTTAACAAAGTTATCTCATAAATGCAACTGTACAATAGTAAGTTTTAAACTTTGGCATTATAATAATTTAAGCATAATCATAAAAATGTACCATTACTAGAACATATTTTTACATAATTATATACAGTTCTTTTCTACTCTTAGACAATACTATCGCAGGAAAAGGAAATCCGTAACAACTTAAATAAAAACTAGCGTTCTATAATATACAAATAAAATCGGTATCGGACCAGGCGTTCACCTATCTACAATAAATATGATGGAACTTAAAAATAATTATCACTTTTTGTTGGACTAATACGCTTAAGCGTTGCAAGTATGGACTATGTCAGTTTACCTGCGTTGGAGCATACGCTACGCCCAGAGCTGCGCGTGCGGGGGCATGCGGTGGGGGTGCGAGTCTCGTGCGTGGACGCCGGCCGGCATGGCCAGCCCGTCGCCCAGGAGGGGGGGCAGCTTGCCCGGCGGCGGCGGCGGGGGCGGCGCCGGCGCCCGCCCGGCCCCCACCGGCGACACCGACGCGTAAATATTCACAGTCGAACGGTGATACTGACACTTCCTCAAGTCCGGCATCGCAAACCTCAGTTTTTGCCAAAATTGCCTATCACCCCACTCTATACACGTGTTCGCCTTCAAGCACAAACGTAGCTCCGGGTCGATATCTCTGTTCGGCAATTCACCCAATAATATTATTATCAGTCTTCTGCGTCTCTCTTTCAACACTTCGTGGAGTGCCGTTTTGAATTCGAACCGACACCATTCGTTGTTAATGAAATTTTTAGATAGGACTATTATCGTCCGTTTTGATGATTCGACGGCCTCTATTATTGTGTCTGCGACATACGCGGATGCGTTGAAATCTCGATAGTGCAGACAGAGCCGAAAGCTGGGGTCGGTCGATTCTAAACCGGGCGCTAGCATCTGAGCTACGAACGCCTCGTCTTTTACGCTGTAACTTATATACGCATCGAATAAGCGATCTTTGTCGGCTTCATCGTCGAATGCCGTACTTTTATAACACATTCTGAAGCCGCAATGGTAATAAATCCAGACTCGCAGCTCGCGGCGCCAATAAAATACACCGCAAATTAAGGCCGAGCTTATAACGAACACGCACAACGATATCAATAACAATGGAAGGTAGTCATTTATAACTTGATTTTCGATAATCGAGGAGCTCCCACCGACGTGACTGGTGCAAGTTGTTGAGTTAAAATCGGCCATGTGAGATCCGACTGCGTTCGTCACATTATTATAAATGCAAGTGATCTTATCGGCATCTTCAACCTTCCCCAGGTTATTTTTAAACCAATTTCGGAATTTATGCATATACTGACAGTCGCACGACCATGGGTTGCGGGAGAGACTTATCTCTACCAAATATGGATTCATCGTGAATTGCCACACCGCAAAGCCGTAAATGTTGTTCCCTTCCAGGCGCAGCACCTCTAAATGCCTTAACTCCATGAAAGTTCGATTATCAATATAATGTATTTTATTGTCTTGTAGATGCAATTCGCGTAAATTCTCCAGAGGCGACAGTTCAAAACCTAGCAATTCTTTTATATTATTTTTTTCTAAATGTAAAATCGTTAAGCGTTTTAGTCCACTAAATGTATTATTATAGAGAGCGTCAATGTTAGAATTATTTGCATACAATATTTTTAGATTTTTACGTCCAATAAAAGCATGACTTGTTAAACCACCAAAGTTGTTACCGTCTAAATATAGTTCAGTAGCGTCCATAGGTATATTGTTTGGTATTTCGGAATACCCTGCCGCGGAACAGTCCACAATGTTCGCCGACCATGGCTGGTCGTGATAGCACGTACACTTTGATGGGCACGTCATTTCACAATCACAAGCGTCAAAATCACAACAATGACACAATGTAAAACAATGAGTTTTATATGTACACAAAAACTGCGAAGATTCCGCTTCAATGAGCGGGATATAGGTCCTTTCTCTATTATACAGTAGCTTGCAATATATGCTCTCCAAGTCCATTACTCTCGGGTGTTGCCTGAGATGGTCGAGTTTGTTTATTCGTTGTAACCACTCCATAGTACAGTCACACTGGAAAGGATTTCCTCCAATATAAAATTCGGGTAGGGGCCGCCCTGGATCAACTGGAGTTAGACGAAGCGCATTGAGATCCATGCTAGTTATCTGATTTGCATACAAATCGACTCTCGTTAAATTGGTTTTTCCAACAAAAGTTTGAGCTTCAACTTGCGTAATTTGATTATCATTCAAAAATAGCAATTCGACGCTGCTCGGAATAGAATAAGTGTATATTCTCGCCATTTTATTGAAACTAGCGTCCAGGGTTTGTAACCGCAGCTCTTTGTCCATGCGGTAGTTATTACCCAACTCTTTGATGTTGTTGCTATGAAGGTCTAACCATTGAAGTCCCGGAGGAATCACAGCATAATCAAACCATTCTATTTGGTTATCTGATACGTTTAACCACAACAGAGAGGGAATATTTACAAATAGCCCTTGAATATCAGTTAGTTGGTTAGCGTCGAGCCTAATAGCTTGTAAATTGGTTAACGTTTCGAACGCATTCATGTCAATGTGTCGGAGTTTATTACGAGCCAAATTTAAAATTTGTAGGGATGGCAAGTCCGAAAATACATCTTTGCTTATATTCTCGATTTTATTTCCAATGAGACGCAAACCGTAAACATTGTGTAGGCCAACAAAGCCTGGCTCTTCCAGTGATGTTATCTGATTTTCGCCAAGATCGAGAGTTCTCAATAGTCGCATGTTTCTAAGCGCTATTGGCACTTTCTTCAAACGATTTCCATTTAAATTTAAATCTTGCAAGGAAGAAGTATTTCGGAATGCTTCAGGATGAAGTTCTTCCAGGTGATTATTATCTATAGATAACAGTGATAACACATACAGACCATTCAAGGCATAAGCATCAATATGAGAAATTTTGTTATATGATAATATCAATGTGTGCAAATTATTCATCGGCGCAAACGTATCAGCAGCGATACTTTCTAACATATTGTGTTGTACATTTAATATTTGAAGAGTATATAAATCTTTGAAGAGTTTCGGTTCAAGCTTCGATAGTCTGTTATTAGATAAGTTCAACAGCACCATTCTGATAAGACCGGTAAAAGTATTCTCATTTATCCAAGTGCTTGTTAAATGATTATTTGATAAATCCAACGCTAATAACTGATCTAAATTAGCGAAGAGACTGGATGAAAGCACACTAATGGAATTGTTCTGTAGATATATTTCTTTAATCACAGGTCTACAATCTTTAAAAAGATCTTGTGGTAAAGCGACTATTTTGTTGTTGGAAAGATCAATTATCTGTAGTTGTTTCAGACCTGATAGCGCTTTGTCAGCCACCATTGAAATTTCGTTATCATGAATGTGCAACTCTTTTAGCCTTCTTAGTGCCATGAATCCGTTGTCTGGCATTAACACAAAATGATTACCTGAAGCATCTAACACTTCTATATCTAAAGAGCACGTGGAATGTGGTAGAGATGCTACTGTTGGTGCAGAACCATCTTGATCACTAATTAACGCCTGATGCATAGCCCTCTCTCGGAATCCCAAATCACTTACATCTTGAAGTCTATTCGAAGATACGTTCAAATATACTAGATTAGTGAGAGGGCAAAACAAGTTCTCTGGAAACGACCAAATGTTATTAAAACTGAGGTCTAACTTTTCTAATTGCCGAACGGCCGTAAAGCTCTCTGATGCTATCTCTAAGCTCATGGCAGCCCATTCCGTGTTTTTAGTTCTGATCGTTAAATTTCGGAGGTCTCTAAGGCCAGAGAGGACGCCGGGCGGCCATCGTCCGATTTTACAGCTATCCAAAACAAGTTCACGCAGTTTCACTAAATGCGCAAAACTCCGTTCGTCTAGTGAGCTTTTATACATCATGTCTTCATTGCATTCTATCCTCAATGATGTTGTGTGTTCCGAAGGAATAACACTGAAGTTTGTAGTATCAAATTCACTGTTTATTGTGCGAAGTTTACAAGTCAGGGACACTTCGTGAGAGTCATTTGGGCCTCTCAGCCACCACTGGCAATCATCTGGAGCTTCATATTTTAATGGCAGCGAGCTCTGATCAGCAACATTGAGTCCAATAACAAACCATAACAGGATTTGGCCTAGGGGTCGTTTTGTAGAGGAAGTGTATTGAAAAGCCATTATGAGGAAAATCAAATATCAAGGAAGAAAGAAAACAAGACACAGTAGGCTCAGTGTCATGTTTTTTCCGTCGGTGTTTGTGCGTATCGTCCCCTTGTCGGATGTAAAGAATCCATCAATTTATGAACTCTATTTCGGCTTCAATTTAGCAGATAGTCCTTATTATGGTAAAACGCATGATGAGTTAGATAATTTGGGTCACTGTCCGTAATTTGTGTTCCTCAGTCACGTTAACAAATTAACACAAAAAACCGTCCACTTTTATTAAAAACGTCCGTAATACACTATTACTGCCTTTTCTGTAGTTAGATTGTGCGCGATATTATGAAATTCGGTAGAGTTCGTTTTGTTTTTGTTTCGCGTTCGTGATACGCGTGTTTTCATAGAAACGTAAGCCCGTTCAAAGCGTCAAGTGGCGCGACCGTGCCTCGACGCTTCTGGGAGACGACTGAAATCGAGCAGAGGCATGCAATGCCTCGGTTCGGTCGGTTAGGGTCTACGCTAAGCGGGGGAGGGGTGACAGGCTGATGAGCCGAGCGGTGGCGAACGGTCACGACGACTTGTTACAATAAATTATTTTTTTACGAAGCTTTAAGCGATCGGATGTATGCACGCAGAGCCACAAACGGAATTCACGTGAATCCCGAATGAGTTAATTTTTTACTTAGAATTATGGATGGTTGTAAAGTTTGCTTGTACTTTTGATAAAATAGGTCGCAATTTAAAAGTTAAAATATTATTTTGTTTAATTTACAAATATTTGTTATATTATTTTACTCGTTAAGTATGAAAACATCGGTTTTAATTCTATTTTATTGTGCAAATGTTACTTGGAACTTAAGCTTTTTTTGTTTCGTTCTTTCACTGAGATTTTGTAATTATAGCTTACTCATTTTTTTTTATTATTTTGAGTAACTTCAGTCTACGTAAATAGATAAAAAATGTACTTGATATTTTTTATCAATACCAAAGGGATTTTGTGGGAAACATCAGCTCAACTCAAGGAAGCCTTTAAAGTTTGCTATATTTCGCATACCATCACGATCAATCAGAAGCCCCATCAGCATTTCGCAAAAACCTCCAAATAACTAGATGCCTTACAATATAAGGAAGTTTAAACATGTGTGAAAATTGGGCTTTTAATACATGATTCGATTTAAGTTTTAGAATTTTAGGACCAGGTTGTATCGACTATATTGTTTTATGTTAGATTTTATATAAAAAAATGTCGTCATTCCTTTTACTTATGTGAGGTATTTTGTTATTTATCTTTGTACTATTGTAACATTGTTATTTAAAGGTATTCCAAAGGTAGATTATAAAGCTGATCCTTGATTTGACCGCCAAAGGAAACCTAAAATTTAATAGGATTTCAAAGAAAGACCGGGCGGGTCTTATAACTACTTTTATAAATATTAGTCTTTCCAATAGAACTGTAATGAATTTACCGCAAGCTGAATAGATTTTGTGAGGTAACAAAGCAGTCGTAACACATCTTATACACAGGAAGGTTGGATTAAGGCAACCCTTCTATTCGAATGCTAAAATTAAAAAGCTACCTATATGGCATAAAAGCATTAAGGGATTAAAGTTACAAAATTCTTAAATGTCTCAACAAAAGAGAACTGTGTTCACGCTTGGTAGACCACACTGGATGTCGGACGACGGAAGGTATCGTTTTAATCCTTTTAGTTAAGTTGACTATGAAAAGACAGATGCCTTAGCGTCCCGTCTTTTCTTTTGTCATAGGTTGACGCGTTGATGCTTAGCCATAGATTAATTAATAGTGATTTCCTTAATATACAACCAAAAAGCTGAACACATAAGACTTTTGAATAAATTTAATATTCCTATCACACTTCATTAAATATATACGTATATTGTACATTTTATATTCCAGTAATATGAGACATTAAGTGCCCTTCTAAAGCTATTTCGTAATTAAATTAAATTATAATATTTTGAGAAGTCATACATTTTAATGTGAATGGTTGATTAGTTCACACAGACAGACTTTAATCATAGTTCACCAAAAGATGGCGCTATGCGTTTCCACTACGTTGTGAATCACTTAATAACAATTAATATCAATATTTTCATATGTATTATCTCCTTTTGTATTCTGCAATAATTGGAATTATGTACAGCCATTAACATATTGTATTTTGTTGTTGTAATGTATTAAGAGAAAGATAAATGATTTATTTATTTATTTTATTCTTCATGCACAAATGTACAATGGCGGACTTAATGTCGTAGGCATTCTCTACCAGTCAACCATAGGATGTTGTGGAGATCATTAGTGGTAGGGTGCACACCTGAGGTGGAAATCACATTGAAAGAAAAATAAATGGAAATAAATATAAATAATAATATATATAACAGATAAATAATATTCTTGGATACGTGGCTGCTGAATGCGTGCGCTATTAATATCTTCTTAATTATTTTCAATGAGTTGGTAATTTCTTTAACAGAATTACAGTAAATAAAACTAGTTTTTACGGGTTAATGCACGAAACTTTATTTATTTATTGACGTTTCGCAGCCTTTTCAGGTCTGCATCGTCAGAATAATGATTTTTTATTGAAAATTTTTATTTAATGAGTGATGTGCGTGAAAACCTAAGAAACAAATAGAATTACAGTAGCTATTGACGTTATACTAAGTTAATAACCATAATGTTATTTCAAAATTCGAATGTGTCTTCGACAGAAAAACAACCTAGACGACAAAATAGCAGTAACTCTTTGGTCACGTGTTAACATTTTGTTGTTTCAAGAAACATTTATCTTTGAGACACCGACAGTGTTAAGGTTATTGCTTCAAAGTGCTTTCACATCACAATCTGTCAGTACAGAAAATGAATAATGATGAATCGTATTCGCCCGTAGGGGTTCATTCGTACCCACGCGTCGATTTCGTCTTTAAACGAGGAAATATTCGCTGTAATCGTGTACGAATCGATCGAGATAATCGATCACGGTTAATCAGGAAGTCGGACGGATGAATTCTTATTGGTGTAATGACGTCGTATCGTAACGTTATTTATTAGTACATACTTACTAAATTAGTGAAGTTGTAAATAAATTTTGTTCAAGATCTCGGACAACACATCATTATTGTTTTTAGTAAAAATATGTTATATATATATATATATTTATATAATATATTTATAATAAGTTTAAAGTTAAAAAGATCGTTAAAATCAAAGAGCTGTCGCCAAAGGTTGGAAATGAAGTCTTTCAGTTGGTTAGAAGTTTTGCTAAATAATATTGTCATTGTATCAATCACATTATATATGTCATTATAGATAGATATAATACTGTTTGATAACAAAAACTATTAGAAAAAAAATGTAAACAAAAATGTAACAGCAAAATAAAACTCTTTAAAGTTATTTCAGTTTTTGCTGTAAAAAATATTAACTTGTCTTTGCGCAGTTCAACGTTATTTCACACACTGTCGTTTATCTCCAAGTCAAGAGGCTTGTTAGACATTTAAAATGGAGTCGAGCAACACTCGTGATGTGAAAGAAGAAAAAATGTCGCGTAGACTCTAAAACATAGCACAATTTATGTTCTCGTGGTGTGTACATAAAATTTTACTGGTAAAATATTCACCCCGTGTGTTTTCCGCAACGACAGCGATACAAACACGATAACATGAGGATTCTTGTTAGCATAGAAATTACATTTCGTATATATATATCTATGATATTTATGTGTCTCTCTATACAAAAATAATTTATGGATGTACACGTAGGGTCTGGCTTTACTCGATTCTGTATTATTACCGTAACAATGATTGCTAAGGAATAGATTTCGGAGAAATATTGATAGGTACGTACCTAATATTATTTAAAAGGGTCAATACGATAACTTGCTGATTCAGCAGAGCATCAATTTGAAATAACCATGAGAGAATAATACATTACCTAAAGTCAATTATTTTTAACCAATTTATTTTACCTTTTGCATGGAAAACGTTTGACATCTAAATAAAGAGTTCTGAGACCTTCAAAATTTTCTTTTAAGAGAGACTACTTGGTAACTTATGCTAAACCACACAGTTTATGTCTCAAAATATTAAGTGAGATCTAGATAAATGTATCTCACGGAAAAAATAGCGGTTTATAATTTAAAATGTAATAAATACTTATCGGTGCAACAGTAACGCTTTTCGTCTCGGATAAACTTTTTAAATCGCACTTATTTGTTGAACGCACCATCATAAATCCAAACAAGAAAGCTCAAACTAACGCTTAAATGCAGCCTTACTTCCTTACGGAAGTCCGTAACGTGCGAAATATCCTTCTTAACTTTTTTATTTCGAATCAAAGGTTGCCACCAATAATAAAACGTCAAACAACGCACAATAGCACAAAACCCAAGAAGGGTAAACATACTATTCACACCGAATTCCATATTTTATAAGCTTGTGCCGTTCAAAATCGAAAAATATGAACCTTGACAGAAAGCGTGAATCACTAAATTAATATCCTTGAAATCTAATCGAAGCAATTAAGAATGCCTTTTTTCCCCTATGAAAGTGTACCTGTCTCTTTTGTTGGTGGGACTTTTTTATGAAGCCATCTCGCTCTTCGGGCCTTTTTAAGATTTTTATAAGGTAGATATGTGACAGGGGTTGGCTCGCAATATTTCACGTGCGGTGTCTAGAAGGCACCCACGCTCAGGTAGCGGAGATTATCACTACAAGCGTTGTTCATAACTAAAAAAAAGTTCCCTTTAGGATCGAAATGAACAAAAAGGAGTGGAGCTGACGACAAAGGCGGTATTTTTTTTTATGACAAACTTTTTGTTTATCATAGACCATAATAATAATATGAGATGAAAACAGCGGATGATAAAGATAAACAGTATACGTTGGCGTCAATGCACGCAACTTAATTGCATAAGTTGCACGTAGTATTGCGTTTTTGCAGTGAATTCGGTTTCTACAATTCAACGATGGGGAAGCGAAACTTCTGTTTGACATTAAATGCAATAATGTGCTTGTTCGCCATCCTTTTGAAATAATCCTGTGTACCAAATTTCCTTAAATTATTTCTTCGTAATTTTACTGTAGCTATCTATAGTACCTATGTGAAAATTCAGTACATGAAGAAAAAGGAAAGCTTATATCTGCACAAACAAAAAAACCAAATTATTCAATTACAGTTTTTTTAATACTTTTGATGGATTTTTCATGTCCTATAAAGATTTATAATTGTGATATAAACGAATATTGTGATATATGTTGTTCTCGTTAAGCAACAAAAAGCTTTTTATGCTTTTTGTGCTCGTGTTGTGCTCCATGGTTTTCGCTAGTCCCAGTTCCCGACAAAACTATGAAACAGATAAAAAATAAGCAACACCAGAATCGAGCTGCGAACAAAAAACGACGAACAAAAATTTATTAATCTCAAAAAAGATAAA